TGAAAACAATTGGCTCACCTGTGTGTTTGACCATCGCATTGTGGATCTCCTCGCTGACTTCAGCACAAAGCTCCTCCAGAAGTTTCTTCATCTCAGGGGTCTCTTTCAGTCTATCTGGAACTYGGGCCACAATTGAGTCCAGCCACTGTTGCTGGATCGGAGCCTGGGGTCGACTCTCGACAAAACGCTTTAAGTTTCTGTAGTTCATCATTTTTTTCCGCTCCTCGCTCATCATCTGCAAAGTAAGTTTGGAAAAAAAAACGTAATCAAATAAAGCTGTTTTATCCATGTCTTAAATCATCCCACGTTTTATTATATTTTGCTTCCAATGAGGCAGCCAGTCGTTAAAATACAATTTGTTTTGATGATTTAGTTGATTTAGTTACACTCATATAATTTAAAATAAACATCAGAGATAACAGGATGGATGGATCCAACTTAAAAAATGTAAGAAACAAATGTCTATCATAAAACTTTAAAAACAAATTGTGCCTCCTTGGAAGAGAAATACAAGAAACTGGGGATACCTTAAAGCATTTGCACAGTAGGCCTACTGTAAATTAAAATGTGTATATATGCACAAAAAATAAAATGTCATACAGTGGATGGTAACTGTGGTTCTGGKAAAGGACTGTGAACAGGGTTGCTCTCTTGGCTCCGTCTGTAATCCTCCATGGCTCTGGAGACCCTGTGATTCATAAAGTAAAACTTTTAGACTTAAGGAAACTCAAAGTCTTTTTGATTTACACTTTAAGGTACAGCATCGAGAAACTAAAAATAGCAACGCAACKGAAGAATTAAAAAACGCACATTTTCATATGGAGCTGGTTTTCTTGCACTTTGCTCCTTCTATGTTTCAACAGCTTCTGTTGAGCCTTCAACTTGTCCTCCAACTCCTTCTTCGTTGAGAAAGCCTTTTTAACTTCTTCACTARGCCCTGATGCTCCGATGGGAGGCAGAACCCGAGGCCTTAGCCCTTGGCTTGCTCTCTGTGGGGTTAAACTCTCCGGGAGAGGAAGCCATTCCTTCACAAACCGAGAAAACAAAAAGAAACAAGCAGTAATGTGAAAATCTCAAAACTATAAGCAACAAAAAGTCTTCGCATTACTTTACCTGTTCGTTCATTTGGTGCACTTTGGTAAGTTGGTTTGTAGCTGTTGATAACTTGTTCAGTTTAGCCTG